ATTTTATTCGACAAATGGTTGACCAATGATCTTAAGAGTTTCCTATCAAAAAGTGATGATTTTTTATTCATTCCCAAAATCATAGATCACGATGTTTCATCTCTTGTATCCTCTTCTATGAACACCTCTTCTTCAACATTTAATAAGATTATTGAATCTCATATATCCGATTCTCCTTTCTTCACATCTGTTTCCACATCCGATTCTGCTAAAGGGTTTTTCCCTGATAACTCTTCAAAATCAATGAGACATGGTTTAACGTCAATTGTACCTGCGGTTACTATTCCTGCGGATGACCAACTTTCATTGCCCATTTGTCAACCATATTATACATCTGCTTTGAATATTCCTTGGGAGCCCGATGCAATCAATACTCCAGATTTTCTTTCCGATAGATCCTCTTCGCTTACTTCAGTTTTAACGGATAATAGAACCGATATCTCATCTAATAGCCTCGTGAAAACTAAGATACTTCCTAGAAATTCTACTAAGGCCACGGCAACTTCACCTACAGCAAGTACGCCCTCTACCTCTCCGTTAACCAAAACCACTGCTGATAATAGCCGTAAGCGTTCCGCTAATTGCATTGAAAAGGATTCAAAAACTATCAACGAAGAATTGGCTATCAAACGCGCTAAAAATACTGATGCAGCTAGAAGAAGTCGTCTTCGTAAAGTTTTAAAAATGGAATCACTAGAGATGCAGGTAAACGAACTCAAAATTGAAAATAAAAATTTTCAAACTCGCGTTGCTGTTTTGGAAAGTGAAAAGAAGGGATTGAAAGAAAAGAATATTGAAAAAGATAATAGAATCAGATTGTTGGAAAAACAATTAGCTGAATCACATGAAAGGTTAATCAATATATCATAATAATTTTTTTTTTAACAGTAAATGAGCATGTCTACTTACAAGTGGTGTTTTAAATAGTTAATTAGTAATAAATGAGTTGACATATTCAAGTTTTATTTGTAAATTTATAATAAAAAAAAAACACTTAAAGGATACATATATACCTTTTTTTAAATTTAAATATATGTTTTGGCATTTGGCAACTTTTTAGCTTCTAAGTAGTTTAGAACA